TAATCAAAATGCTGACAGCAGCAACAATGAAGAAGAACGCAATGAAGGTCATCAAGATGAAAATGCCCTTGCTGCTGCTGAAGCTGACTATGAAGCCAACCCGGATGCAGGAGAAGCAGAGGAGGATCTGCTTCCTAGAGGATTTAGGAGACGGTTTAGAGAGGAAGACAGTGAAGATGTGACAAGTCAAACATTTCCGCTGGTGGAACGAGACGTGACTCCAAATAGTGACATGACAAACGTCACTCACAGTGACTGAATGGAACCTTTTTTTTAAATAAAAATGCATCTTCTACTCAGTTGTCTTTTGATTAAATGCGAGCACTGCAACACCTTTGTTTTTAAAAAGAGATAAAACTGCTTTTGTAAAACCAAATTACTGTCAGAATAGACGTACCAAGGTATGGGAGTATTCTGATTCTGATATTTAACCTCTTAAGACATGGCGTCCATATATGTGGACATCACATTTTGGGTTGTCTAGACCAAAATACAAAATTTTGCTCTACAAGGGCCTGATATCGACATACGAGATCATTATACTGTCACTGTTCTATCGAAATTTAAAATGAATGTCCTCATATGTGGATCTCATTTGTCTCAGAAACAAAAATTAGGTTAAAAAAAAAAAACATCATGTAATTCTTTGTTTTTACATTCATCAGGTCCCAATCAGCCCAAATAGCAAAGAGAAATTAAAAATGCATGCCATGAAAGAGTTCGAGTCTTAGGAGGTTAAACACAATCAATGTGCCATCCTACTAAAAACAACTTTACACATAAACTTTAAAGGTGTAACAAGATGCTGAAAAATAGTGCTAAACCATCAGTCCTCAACCACAACATTTACTGTAATCCAGATGCTGATATTTGCTGATGCCTTTCATTCATTTGTTAGATGTGACATTGACAGGATAGGTTAGAGTGTGTAGCAGAGAAAACAGAGTCCACAGACTACTAAATGTTTAACATGTACAAGGGAAACCAGCAACATGATGAGATACTAACATCTCGGCAACAGGAGGTAAATGGGCTGGTACTTATGCAGTACTTTACTACTCTATTTGAGCACTCAAAACACTTTCTGACTACAAGCATTCACACAAAAAAGGGGACCTCTGGATTCAGTAACTTGCCCAAGGATACTTCGATTAGAGGACCCAGGGGATCAAACCACCAACCTTCCAAATGGTGGACGACCTCCACCGCATTGTCTTTGACGTATTCGAAGGTTTGGGTGTTTCCCTACCCCAAAGCTTGCTTTTTCCAACAGACATGTGTTCGGGTGAGTTTCACCCAGCAATAGTGATGGAGGGTAAAGTAGGTTTTGGGTGGATTTCACCCTGTGATGGTGTTAGTGTATAACATTTCAAGTCCTGATCTTCAGCGTGCACGACATCCCTACCCCTGGCACTCTTGCAGCTGAGGCAGGACCAGTGGCAGCAGAAAGCAGTAGTCCCTTAGTGAGGTGTGCTGACTGTCTTGGACAGGAAGTGTATCCACACCATTACTACCCTGCGTGTATTGACTGCATGTAAAGAATTAAGGAAGTAAACGTGGTCCTGGAATTTGCACGTTATCCTAATTTATTGCAGTGGTTATGAATACATATCACAAAAGTGTTATTTCCAAGGCAATTCATATGATGAAAAAAATATTTTAGGCAAATGTTCATTTTTACCCACCAAAAAGTGCTTTTTTTTTTGTTTCTCTCTCCTGCAGCTGTTTGCATGTCAAGGAAACTGTGCTTTCACCAGAGAAGTCTCAAATGTCCCAGGAATGGGTGGACCAAAGACCAACTTTCCAGTGTCATTAATTTTTTG